GCCCCAACTTCACATACTTTTAAAAAGCAAGAAATGAAATGGAAATCCCGGGTTTCATAGAAAATCTTCTGTTTGTGTTCTGTGGTATGTAGAGAAATGTTCTATTGGTGCTTAAGTTCAGAATTTTAAAAATAATTTTTTTTCAAGATAAGCACACTAATACACCATTGATGGAGCTATGAATTCATCTGATCATTCTAGCAAGAAAATGGAAATAATTATGCTAAGAAAATTACTAAAATGTCCATATCCTATGACTCAAACATCCCATTTCTCCGCATAGATTCCCAAGACTGTTAATGATAAAAAGAAAGGTCCCATATGCACCAAAATATGCATAGCAACACCTTTGTAGAACAACTGGAAACAAAGCAGATAGTCACTGATTAGGGAATGGTTAAACAAACTGTGGTATACACATGTAATGTAATGTTACTGGGCTGTAAGAAATAATATGATCAATACAGAAAAGAATGGAAAGACATGAACTCATGCAAAGTGAGGTGAGCCAAGCAGGAAAACATTATCCACAGTTACTGCAACATTGTCAATGGATTACTGCTGTTTGTTCTTCCGTCTCAAAGAGAATGGTGACATCAGGAAGGTGATGCCATGATACGCAAGCGAATTGGTTTTAAGTGGGAGAGCTGTGCGAAGTCAATGGAACAAACAAGAAGAGAAACTAAATACTATTAAATTATAATAACCAAACTTGGCCCAAAGAAAAACTAAAGAGACTACACTTGTCTTCTTTCTTTGCAGAGGTGAGGGACTAGGTCTGTGGAACTCTGCATGTAATGTCAGACTGACATATTGGTTGATTATTGGCTAGCTTTGTTGAACTGGGTTTTTTCCTCTTTGTTATTTTTTGTTAAAAGAGATGGCTTTCTTGGAGGGACATATGAGGAAATATATATGATGTAAAAACAAAAGATATCAATAAAAAACTTTTTAAAGGAAAAAAATTACATAAATAAAGGACAGGGGAACAGTAGTTCATTTGAAAAAGACCTAAGGGTATTAGTACATCTCCAAGCACATATATATATATATATTTATATATATAAATATGGCATATAACTATGTTGAAGTAACTAAAAAAAGTAATGCTATCTTAGGCCACATTAATAAAATCATAGTGTCATAAACAAGGGAAATGATGGTTCTGCTGTCCTCTGCCCTGTCAGGTCACATGTTATGATTTCGTCTTATTGTATTCAATTCTATGGACCAGCCATAAAAGACAACTGGGATGGTGACAGCTTGGAGACTTTCCCATTCAAGAATTAGTTGAAGGAAATGGGGATGTTTTAGCTTTGAAAAGTACATATTTGAGGGAGAAATAGAAGAGGGATTAGATTTATTTTACTTGATCTGAGAGGATGGAGCTAGGAATTGTGGACTACGTTTAAGGGAGTTCCTTGTAACAATTAAAATGATTCCAAAGCAGAAAGGGGGGCAGCTAGGTGGCACAGTGAATAGAGCTCTAGCTTTGGAGTCAGGAGAACCCGAGTTCAAATCCGGCCTCAGACATATGATATTCACTAGCTGTGTGATCCTGGGCAAGTCACTTAACCCCGATTGCCTCACAAAAAAAAAAAA